CTGATCACTTTACATGGTTCTTGTTCATCTGATACGTCCTTAACGTACCGCACAAGAAGCAATGAATGAAAAAAAATACCAACAGCATTCAGTTTATTTGATCCTTAGCTTTGTTACATTATGATAATACATATTCTCAGCCGCTAATAGCTCACGCGCTCGTGATCACGATGAGGCGAGCTATGGCCTGCATAGTCTCTACAGAAATCTAAAACTTACACTAGCTTTGTCTCCTGAGAAGTTTAGTATTTAACAAGATGCCCAGTGGACAAGTATCAAATGCTGTTGGCATCTCTGCATTAGATTTTCCTTGGACTGATTAGCGAAATCTTCATCAGAGCCGAGATAATAAAACCGGCTTATCAACTGTGGACACACCCTTCTGCTGTTTGAGTATATTTCTAGGTTCTGAAAGCAAATTCAATCTTTGATTCTACCTTCATGTGCAGGAGGCAGAGGAAATCAGAAAACACATGTTCTCTGCCTTCTCATTTTCCCTTTCGGTCCGGCGAAAGGCCAGCAACCCAGGAAAGCATCGCCATCATTATTCCTGCATAAAGATAGGGATCATAAGCTTTTACAACTGCTCTTTAAGAGTATAATTTCTCACTAACATGGAAGTTTCAATCTCAAATCGAACAGACAAAAATAAGATAGATCGAAAGGTTCGAACTGGTATAGTTCGGTTTGAAACATTTTCTGTTATTTGCGTACCAAATCAGCATGTTATTTTAGGCTAACAAGTGGAAATTCTGTTTTGGGGCTCAATAAAGATACGGTTTTACTTAATCCAAATGAAACCATGTGCAATTTCTTCAATAAGTATTACCTTTTCTTGCAATATGATTAGGAAATTGCCGAGTCAGCAGAAAGGTGAATATCCGAAAATCCATAAATAGGATGTCATATTGAAAATATTCGAGTTCTTACCTGCTGGAATAGCTCTTGCTCCTGCTGGTACCGCTTTCAGTTCTAACTCGATCGCGACTCCCCTGAGCTTTCGCAACAGGACTCATTTTAATCCTCGACACCGTGTCCAGATTCCTCTGTTCAGGCCCTTCAAACAACGTCCTTGGCGAAATCTTCGACCTGGTGTTCCGTGATGTTGCAGGTTTCTTATTCGATGCCAAGAAAGACGGGAAAAACATCTTGATCAGGAAAGTTCCGGTCTCCATGCTATTACATCTTGACACCTGATGATGCTGATGACTAGTGGTCCTCGTGACTTTCTTCCTCTTTTTCCTCTTCTGGTTTTTATTTGACTCTGCCTCAGCACTTGGAAACTCAAATTTTCTCTCTTCCTCCTCTTGATTTTCCTGCAAAGCAATCCAAAGTTTAATTATTTGTCCTCCATTAATAAAACATAATTTCCTTAATCAGCAGAACTTTTTGCCCAGATTGGTTTCAAGGCATATACAACAGATGAAGAGCACTTATAAAGCACATCGGTATGATACTCTGTTATGTCTACTATATGATTACAGAAATAAGATCAGATTTCAAGATCAAACAAGAGGCGAACCAAGCCAAACCGAACCGAACCGAATCGAGTGTACTATTACCTTAGAAGATAGCTGCTCATCCACGATATCTTTGAGGGAAAGCTCGTAACTCGACTCGGGCAAGTTCCGGATCATCTCCATCATCTCTCTTCTTCCTTCTTCGATCCTCCGAGTCCTAGACGAGGGAGAGAGACTGCTGTAGTGGTGATCTTGGGGAAGAAGTGGGGATGTGTCCACATCTTTGGCAATTTTTACCGACATGTTTTCGCGCTTCCACAGGGTTGGCGAGTCAGGATCACAGCTTCTGCTGTGGTGGTTCCTCATTCTACTCGGAACCCAGAAATCAAACTCAAGATCTCTGCTCTTCTCAAGAGTGTTGAGGGATTTGGGAGTGAAAGAGAAGATGTGGTTCTGAGCAAACATGGCTTGAGAGAGGGAGAAATTTGGGTTGTTGGAGAGCGATGTTCATGGGGCATGGGAAGCATGTGTCGTGTGTGGTGTTATAAGGTTCAAATGCAACAAAAAGTCATTGCCGTCTTTGATGGGGGGAGGTCAAGTGACTTGATTCAAACGAGCCCTCTTTTTTCTCCGTTTGTCCAAACTTACACATTTCGACTCGTTCGTCTTTCGACCCAAAAAAAAAAAAAAACTCCTTCGTCTAACTCTTGCACGGTTAGTCCATATATTACAAGTGCAAAAGCCAAAGGTAAAAAAAAAGAAAAAAAAAAGAAATACCCGAAACTTTATAATTAGTGATTCCATCGAAATATTATAATATAATCAAAGAACTCGCTTGATATGATCGCTTTACCAAATGAAATTACGGAATTTGAACAGTATCAAGAAAGTAATTCTAGATGAACATGTTTTCTTTTTCCTTCTTTTTCATGCCTTTGTTTCCGCGTAAAGATCCGAAAAGAGGGACTTCAATCACTTTGCTTTTGACTGGTTAGGCAAAAGGAACCCACTATAATACTTAAATGGTCATTTTCTGCCACTAATCAAAAAAACAAAAAAAATTGGACTCATTTAGGGTTTAATCAGAGCATGTTGTTGATTGTAAGCTATGAAGCTAAGGGCGTCACTGTCAGCGTTATTGGCTTCTAGAAGTTGGAAATTTGTGCTCCCATCGAACTGGTCTTGTCAAGTTCACAAATCTTTTGGACTCTTCTTAGCTCCACACGTTTTTGCTAGGCTTCACCAGCTCACAGATGGCAAGTGCCCTCTTCCCTAAATTCGTGGGACGGAAAAATAATTGAGTACCCATCCTTATCATCATAACTAATGTAGGAATAGGAATATTGGGCATCTCAGGATAACAATAAATTAAATTAAATTTAGGAAGAATTTTCTTCAACCCTCGATTTAATACACTAAGATGGATCATCTACCCTACTGTATGCCCGAAATCAGGTCCCAACAAGTAGCAAAATAGATAAATCAATGTTTGGTGCTAATTTAGTGGGTTCAATCAAAGTTATGGGAAAAACTGGATTGTGTCCCCCACATAGGCTTAGCCGGTGAAATTGTTAGATATGGCTAATGATACCTGCCCAAATAGACGTGACATGGGCTAGATACGTCTAAATTGGATATATATTTGGTTTCATGATCATTACCACATTTGATTCGAAAATTACTAAACTTTAATTTACAATGCATAATTGTAAAAAGTACGACGATATTGGGAAAAATCACGGTTGCGATGTGCTCACACTTGTTTTTTGCATGGAACTATAGAGGTATGTGTATACATACATTTCACATTGCAGAGAAAAAGTACAATAAATGAACATGGCCTTGATAAAAGAAAGTCCTCTTTATTTATCGTCTCAAAATTTTTTTAATTAAATTACCCTCCAAACATCATTAGAAAAAAAAAAACAGGAGAGGCGAAAACAATGCTAAAATAGTCTCTCTGGAGCTTTGATCCATGCTATAACTAGGCTGACCGAGTCCCATCTTCTTTCCTGATCTCTTGAATGTCAAATGTCAAATCCAATAGAGGAGAAACATTGACCTACGAGGAGTAAATCAGAAGTAACAGAAATTTGAGGATCGCCATGTTGAAATGAAGGAAAACATCTTCAGGACAGAGTTTTTCATGGACTTACATGGATCCCCACAACGTACGTCTTCCAGAAAGTCATCCCATATTTTCTCTGTCAGTCGCGTCCAAACGATCACACGACATCGAATTTGGCACTTTCTTGCCAATGGGATTTTTTTTGTCCTTTATTCTCGCCGGGATTCAATACGAATTTGATTTTTTAAAAGAATAGAGAAGGACATCGATCGAATGTCACTGCGTATTTACATTGTGTGCTCACAGTTATAGTTGCTCATGAGTCATGACTGTATCTACGGCGTACCGATTATGACCTAAATGGGATAGAGTAGTTCGAGAATATCATTCTCCCTCCCTTACCAACTCGGTGGATATTGGGTCTGCCCGCACACGACCAATGACCATTGCTACTCAACATGAACGACCATCGTCACCCCATGCCGGCTTACCGTTATTGGCTCACCATCCTAGTGACCCCCTGCCTACAAGGCGACCGGGCGGCTACCTTCCATGAGCAATCACTAGCCACAGTGGCGGTCTTGGTAGAGGGAGAAAGAACAGATACGACGACAGAGCATTTTGGATGTTGTCATTCCTTTATCATTTTAGTATGAAACCAAGTTAAATAGTAACTTATAGCATTACTAACACCAAATATTTATGATATTGCAGGCTCATTTCCAATGTGTAACCAAAGGCACCATAAGGGTTATAGATCGCACAAATCATAATAAAGTGCATATAAATAGCAAGATCAAATGGTTGTGGACGGCCATGAAAGATGTAATTATTTGAATTTTGAAATTGAAACCCAAGATTCTCATGACATCAACGGGATCTTTTAATAAAGATTTGTCTTGACCACAAACATAAGAAAGAGACATATCACCTATTAAAATCTAGCTCCATTATCGTGAAGACTAATTTAACTTGATAATCTTCTTAGATCAGTATATCAAATTCACTGTACTCAAGTGCGACACATCACTTATTAAGAAAATTAAGGATTGACCTTGCAGAGAATAAGTGTTGTCCTAGGATTCTTCCAACCAAAAAACATTATACACAGGTATATAAATCCATGAGCTAAAGCCAATGATATTTTATCTTACATTTGTAGTTTTCAGTTGATGATGGTAATTTCCCAAATGTGTTAGTAAATTCTATTATTTCACATGCCAGGAGATTACCCTTAAAGAATCGTCACCTCTACAGCTGTTTGTTTCTTACATCAAAAAGAGAGTTCAATTGTCAAAACAGAAAAAGTAGTTCGGATGCAATGGAAGCAACTCAAGCATGGCATAAGTAGGGGCCAAAAAAAAAATCAGGGATGTTGGATCAACTGCATTAAGGATAGTACTTCCAATTGCCTCGATCAACTGATGCAATGGCACTCGCACAATGCTTTGCATGCAAAATTATTTTACATCTTCTGTCAACATATACGTCTCTTCTTAGCATGATTCAAAAATCCACTCCGGTTTTTTTATGTAGTTATGTCAAGATGTAGAAGAAATACCATGAGTTGTACGTCTACAGTCAAATCCTGAGGTAATTTCTATTGTTGGAAGCAGACCAACACCACAAATACAGGTCGCTCCTAACCAATCCCACAGGAAAATGATGAAACCATCAGCTACAACTATAAGAATCATAAGCCACAACCTCTTTTGACCATGCACAAACTTTCCTGAATTCTTGAAGAACAATAAACACTCACTGAGAACAAAACAAAGAATGGAACTCCATCCCAGATATGTACAAGTTAGACCTTTCGTCACCACTTTGTGGAAAATCATTGGCTCTAAACTGCTTCCTTGCTGAAGCAGAAGCCTGACAAGAAATCACAGGAACAATGACAAGTATGGAGCTTCGAGCTGTATATAGTTCTGAGAGAAGTTCCAGGTCACGCCCTGGTCAGGGACATCATGTTTAACTTGAGGGAAAACTTCTGCAATCACGGACATAACCATTTTCAAAAAAAAAAAAAAAAAAAGGATCTGGTCATGCTTTAGCATCCAAAAGAACGAAAAATGGCAAGGTGGAGGGAATCCATTTTTCAAGCAACAATGAGGTCAGAATCTGAAAATATGTACACAGAATGCCACTACCAGATAGCATCCAAGCAATCTCCACCAACCTCACGCAAAACCTCCAGGTACAATGAGAGGCTTTCATGATGCCCGATTTTCGGTGGACCATGAATCCTTCCTGAAACTTTATAATATGTTTAACATGAGTTTCTCTAGTAAGGTATAAATTGTTCATTAGTAGAAGAGCTATCACCTGGGAGCTGTAGCCTTCTATTTTTCTCCAGCATCTTCCGTCTAAACACTTCTCATTCATTACCCACCATCATTATCATCATCTAAGATGAGCCTAAAGTTGGGTTCAGGAACATACCCAGCTTCCTTCATATGATATGCTAGTTTCCCGAGCACTTTGTATATGTCTCCTATCTGATAGTGGAATTGGTCCTTTGCTGGAAATTTGTGCATTTCATTCTTTACCTCAATCCAACTGTTTGCCACATCTTTTGTCAAATCTCTCTCCTCCATTTGCTTCCTTACTCCGCAGGAATCATCCCATCTGTTAGTTGCAGCATATATGCTTGATAACATCACATACCTCGCAGCATTTCGGGGTTCCAAATTCAATAGAGCATCCACAGCTTTTCGGGCAATAACTAGATTACCATGGACTTTGCATGCACCCAAAAGTGCACCCCACATTCCAACATGGTTTGATTGGTTCGAGACACTCTCTATTAACTCCATGGCTTCCTCAAGTCTGTTTTTCCTCCCGAGCAGATCAACCAAAATAGCGTAGTGATCGGATCTTGGTTGAAGGCTGTAATCCTTTTCCATTGTATTGAAAATCCAAAGCGCTTCAACATCTAGACCTGTGTGGCTGCAAGCAGATAGAGCACCAAGAAATGTGACATGGTTGGGTCTTACATTTGTCTCTAGCATCGTCTTGAGAAAAACAAGTGATTCATGCCCTAGACCATTTTGCGCAAACCCAGTTATCATCGAGTTCCATGATACAATATCCCTTTCCGGCATCGTCAAGAATAAGATCTCAGCTGATCTCATGTCACCACACTTGCAATACATGTCAATTAGAGCATTCCAAATAAATATGTTATCCAAATCTCTATTAAAGCAGGTCCTAACGATGCAACCATGAATCTGTTTGCCTCTTTCAGCAAGTGCTCGATCAGCACAAGCACATAGAACACTGACAAAAGTATGAGGACTTGGCGGTATTCCTTCCTCATGCATTTGAACAAAAAGGTCCAAAGCTTCAGCACCACGTCCATTCTGCGCAAAGCCTGCGATCAGTGCAGTCCAAGAGACTGTGTTCTTTGTTGGCATATTGTTGAATATTGCACAAGCATCATCTAAGTTATGAGCTCGAGTATAAGCAACAATCAGGGAAGTCCACGACACAATATCCTTTTCAGGCATAACGTCGAACAAGGTACGGCATATATTAGCTCCACCACATTTACCATAAGCATCAATGAGGGAATTGTAAGTTATCATAGTAAATTCCAAGCCCATTATGATGGCAACTCCATGAACCTGGCGCAAGAACTTAAATGCACCCAAGTGAGCACAGGCACCCACAACACCCACAAAAGTAAATTCATCCATGAACAGACAATCATATTCCTTTTGCATCTGCATGAAGATACTCAGAGACTCCACATAAAACCCATGACGGGACAACCCAGAAATCAATGAATTATAAGAGACTAGAGCCCTCTGCGGCATTTCATCGAACAAGCCGAGCGCTTTCTTGAAATCGCCAATCCGGGCATACGCAGATACGATGGTGTTCCAAGAGCAATCATTCTTTGTATCAAGATCATCAAAAGCCTTGTGGGCGCTTCGGATGGAAGAGCATTTGGAGTACATACCAATTAGATGGTTGACGATGAAAGGGTCGCTGGTGAGTGCGGTCTTGATGAGGTGAGAGTGGAGGGTCATGCCGAGCTTCAAGTGTTTCTTGGCGACGCATCTTGTGATGAGAGAGACGTAGCGATGGATGGTTGGGACGACATCGCTGAAGAACATGGCAATGCACCAGTCGTCCCTCCCATGAAAATGGGGCGCTCTGCATTTTATCACTTAGCATCCAGCGCGCGAAGTGACATTGTAAAGAAATGGCGAAAATAAATTGATTTAATGCATGTTTGTTTGGACTTAAAAAAGTTAATAGTAGTTTTTTTTTACTTAAAATTAAAATTACTGTTCAAATTTCAGAAAATTATCAAAAAATTATTTGCGAATCTATGAGTCTTCGCTTAAGGAGTTTTAGATATAAAAATTGGGAGAATAACACAAATAATCTTCAAACTTTGATCCTATATGCAACGTTGTCCCTAAATTTTTAATTTGTTCAATGTGATCCTTGAACTTTAGCTAAATGTGTTATGTCGTTTTTAAACTTTCAATTTGTTTAATGTGGTATATGAACTATTAATTAATAGTCAATCTAGTCCTTAAACTATATGGAAATGACGGATTTAGTCTAAGGACTAAATTGAACATTTATCAATATTTTAGAGACTACATTGAACAAATTGAAAATCTAGAGATGACAGGACTCATTGGGCCAAAGTTTACAGACTATTTATGCTATTATCCCTAAAAATGAGATAAATGCACCATAAGTCTTAAAAATTGTTGTAAAAGTATAATCGAGTCTTAATACTTCAAATCTTACAATTTATCAAATTGATGCAGTCGAGTCATACTATTAACTCTATCTGATTGCACTAATGGAAAAAGCTTACCTAATTTTTTTTTTCCGAAGATAGCGGCATTAATATGGTTTCCGTGTCAGACATTTTAAGAAAAATTATAAAAAATTAAAAGGAAAAAATTGATTTCAAAATTCTAAAAATAAAAATCTGAAAAAAGTAAAAATTTGGGAAAAAGAGGAAGAGTCAAACAATGGGGAACAAGAAGGACAGAGCTCCGGTTGAGGTGGTGCGACATGGTAGCCACCGTCGCACCGGCGAGGGATCGGTGTCCCTCGTTAGACTTGGGCAGAGTTAGCTTGGCCCTCACTACTACCTTCGCATGCTAAGAAAGAAACAAAGTGAGTGAGTGTGCACGTACACGTGCAGCGAATAGGTGATTATAAAAAGTAATAGTACAAGCGATCGATCGAAAAGTTATATGATATTCAAGTGATCGAAAAAAAAAAGTTATGGCAATTAAATAAACGCCGCACAAAAATCATATCACTCAAGCGATCCAAAACATATTATAGCACTCAAATGAGTGATATATGAAAAGTATAGCATTTGTGGTATTATTTTCCCGAACTTTTGAAGTTTGAAACCTAACTTTAGTCTTATAAACTCATGTGAATAATTCTGACATAATCCGTCTCAGTTACTTAAAATATATGAATTCTACATTTTTAGGTTTAATATATGTAAAATTTGAATGGGCCTGGTGGTTCACCTACAAAAAGGGTTTCACCGTCAGTAAAAGACTATCAATAAGTATAATTTGAATGATTTCTAAACTAATAACCTGCATGAAAATCTCTTGTACTCTCGTCTTTCGTGCCTCAAAAGTCAAAAGCAACGCGGATTGACTTTTCACGGTCGGATTGAAGTGTACCTGCAACTGGCAAGTCCTCACCTCCCTGGAAGAGCATGGCGAAGGAGGGTGAATTGACTGTCTAATAAAAAGTCTTTCTTCAGCTGAGCTCAAAGCCAGGAACGTTTCTTCTGGGGATCTTTATCTGCTTCTCAGCGTTTGATCCGGACTCTGCATCTTCACCCCTCCATCTCCGGTAATTTCCTCACATCTATTGGTTTTTTTCATTAATTTGATGGAAACAATAGAGGGACTCTCATATCAGTATCAGTTCTTTCCATAGTTGACTCCATGATCGATCACTCTGCAATTTGTATCTAACACTAATAGTTTTGGCCTAGCTCTAGTCACGCGCTAAACCCTGCTCAGCTGCTTCCATCTATGCACCTGTCAGGCCTCAGATCTTGAACACAATCCCACTCAGATGCATCAGCTGGTTGATAAATCTCAGAGATTTCTGCAATTAGTGATCAAACTTACGCTCTTTAGGAACAGGGCCGGCGCTAAAAGCTGACTTTGTTTGAGTGGAATCGGTTGATTTCATTTGTTTAACAGTAGAGGCTAATTAGCACATTATTGTCTGGTAAATTAGCAGTAAGAACATTCCTGGACAGAAAATTGATACCCTCAACTCTCAATTTAACGGTAGATACAGACTGAATAGACTATAATGTTGCACTCTGTGGTGAACCGGAACTCGCAGCTTTTGTAAAATGCAGCTCTCATCCCTAAACTCCTGTGTGTTCCAACTTATTTACTGGAAAAATAGTTATAGCATTCATGCCTTCTTTTTCCGTTGAAATTTTATTAACTCCATAATTGATTAGAAATCCACTCCTCTTTTTCTGATATGCTGATAATTTCTGGCAGATGTGAATGATAGCTTCATGCCTGACTAATGCTCGCCCGTTGACCCTTTATCTGTTTGTTAATAACCTAAGAGATGGCTGTGATTGGGGATTGGTTTATGCTTTTAAGAAAATAGTCCAATGATGAGGGTTGAGTTAGCTTCAGATTAATTTCTTGATTTCATTTTTCTAATGAGAAAGTCATTGGCGAGTGTGATTCTTCGCCAGCATCCGTTAAGGTCAGGGGAGCAACTAATTGAGTGTTGTGGAATGTCTTTGTCAAATCTAATTTGGTACAACTAAAAGAGGAAGGTTCCATCATAATTTCTTATCAGACAATAAGATAGTTAGTCAACCTACAAGCAACAGCAGGCACTTATGTGCAGAGGACATTCAATGCCACCTTTCAAGAGAAATTTTATCACCTAAAGTAAGAGTTTAACACAAAAATAGGTTGATAGTGATTTATCTTCTCGAAATATTATTCTCTCGACTCTATTTCTGGTGTGAATTAAAACCCATAATTCCACATTACTTTAGAAATTTCTTCCTTCAAAATTGAGATGGGTCCACTTCTCTACCATATTGTTACTAAAACAACCGGACATGTTTTGAGTCTAGTGCAATGCCCCAGAAGGAGCTCGTGCATTTGCCATCTTCGTTTCTTTCTAGAATGACTTGAAACAGAAGAGTTTCCAAGAGAAATCATGATAGTCATCATTCCACTTTCATAGTAAAGGTTTTTCAGGTGGGATATCAGGCCATTGCAAGTCCTTTGAAAATTCAGGAAATGGAGAAGCCAACAGAATCTGATTATGAAGTATTCTTGAGCTTCAGAGGACCGGACACTCGCCGTGACATGGCTGATTACCTTTACAACAGCCTCATTCGTGCCGGAATACGGGCATATAGAGATAATGAAGAGCTTCCCATTGGGGAAGAGATTGGCCCGGAGCTTGTCCATGCGATTAAGCAGTCGGAAATCTCAATTCCTATCTTATCTAAAGGATATGCTGCCAGTCCATGGTGCCTCATGGAGTTGGTCCAGATGGTGGAGTGCAAGGAAAACTGGGGATGTAAGATCATGCCAGTTTTCTATGACGTAGCACCATCCGATGTTCTTCGCCAAACTGGAAGTTACGGTGAGGCCATTAATTTACACATAAATAAGCAGCGGTACACTGATGAGACTATTCAAAACTGGAAGGCAGCTCTCAGCAAGGTTGGAACGTTAAGAGGATGGGAACTCAAGGAGAGGTACTTGAATTTATTGTTGTTCAATAATTGTTTGTACCTTAGATATTATTCTGTTCATATCAATTTAACAGTTTGGTCCTTTTGCCTTCAATACTATCAGAGGCAAAGGTGAGTTCACAGAAGAAGTTGTTCGGACGCTGTTGATCGAGTTGAAAAAGAACTACTTGACAGTATCTGATTACTTGGTTGAAATGGATGATCACGTGGACAAAATCATGGAAGTGATAGGTGAACAGACCACTGAAACAAAGATCATTGGTATTTATGGTATGGGCGGTGTCGGAAAGACAACTCTTGCCACAATCATCTATAATAAACTGTCGGCCAATTCCACTAACTGTTGCTTCCTGTCTAACTTCAAAGACACAAAGATTAATATTTTGCAGAATCAACTCATCTCTGGTATCCTAAAAGAGACATTTCTGCCCATCCATAATATATCAGAAGGGATTACTGAGATCAAGAAGAGGCTATTCTCTAGGAAGGTCATACTTCTACTTGATGATGTCGTCCAAAAGACTCAGCTGGATGCTCTTGTCGGGATGGGCAAATGCTGGTACAGCAGAGGAAGTAAGGTTATTATTACCACAAGAAACAAGGTAGTTCTCAAGGATGTTGATTTGAAGCACGAACTTACTGAAATGGATTTTGATCATTCACTTCAACTTTTCAGCAGACATGCCTTTAGAAGAGATCATCCTCCAGCAGAATACTTCTACCTCTCAAACAAAGCGGTAAAAATCTGCGGTCATCTTCCTTTGGCTCTTGAGATCATAGGTTCATTTTTAGCTGGAAAAGATGGAAAATTTTGGGAGACCACATTAGAGAAGCTGGAAACTATTCCAGATGAAAATGTTGAAGAAAAGTTGAACATCAGTATCGAGGCATTACAACCACATGCGAAGGAAATATTTCTTGATGTTTGTTGCTTCTTTGTTGGGTTTGATTGGAGAATTGTGAGGCACATGTGGAAAAGCTGTGGGTTTTTCCCTGACTATTATCTTGATGTCCTCCAACAGATGTCGTTAATAAAGATTACAGAACGTGATGAATTGTGGGTGCATGATTTGCTAAGAGACCTTGGGCAACATTTCGTTCGTCGGAGTGGTAATTTTAATCTAGAGAAGCAAAGTCGGGTGTGGGATCATGAGCAAGCAAATGATGTTCTTATAGCAAAGGTAAAGTGTATGCAATGTCATTCCTCTTCAAGAGACGAGTTATGCACGTTCACTTTGCTTATTTGCTTCTATTTGAACTGAGTCATTAATTGTTTGCTTACTATGATGACATGCTCATCTGTAAATCAATTCTAAATTAATTTGAAAGTATAAGTAAAATGTACATTCCTGAAGTATGTTCAACTCGAATCCCTTCAACAGGCAATTATGTGATCGCTAGCTTCTGTTTTCCTTGTTTGCTTTGGCAGGGAACAGAAAACGTTGAAGCACTACGTCTCAAGTTTGATCATCAATCTCAACGCTTCTTTAAGAAGGAAGAACTTGAAAACCTATCAAATTTAAGGTTTCTTCAAGTGGATTGTGGAGACTTACATATGAACAATGTCCAGCATTTTTCTTTAACTAATTCGTTCCGGAGGAATCTATGCATCCTTCTAAAGTCGAGATGGCTCTCATGGCATAACTTTGTTCAGCATTTTCCTTCAACCAAGTTTTTCCAGAAAAATCTGCTCATCCTTCCGGAGCTGAGATTTCTCTCATGGCATAAGTTTTCCATCTTTTTCCGATTGACCACATTTTCCCTTACGAAGCTAGTGATTCTTGATCTATCACGGAGTAAAATTACAAATGATTGGGAGGGATGGAACCAACTCAAGGTATGGTATTATTTCAACATGAATTTGCTATGTTAACTCAGCTGTCCTGTATCTCAAAATGATCCAGAATTAACCTCTTCTCTTTATTACAGATGGCAAAGAATTTGAAGGTTCTAAATTTGACTGAATGCAGAAACTTGCGTGGAACTCCCGACTTTTCTGCTCATGAAAATTTAGAGCGACTGATTCTTCAAGGGTGTAAGGGACTGGTTCAAGTTGATAAGTCTATTGGTAAGTTAAAGCATTTAGTGTTCTTAAACTTGGAAGGTTGTTATAATCTGCGGACATTGCCGAACGAGATGGGGGAACTGGAAGCCCTAACAGAACTAATTGTTGATGGGACCTCTATTACCAAAATTCCCGAATGGAAAGGAATGAAGAAATTAGAAACTCTCAGTGCAGTTGAATGTGCATCACTAAGTATATGCAATTTTACTGGTTGCTTAACATCACTATCAAATCTTAGGTTGAAAAATACACAAATTACTGAACTTCCCTTTGGAAATTTTGGATCTCTTGTTGAGTTGAATATTTCTGATTCAAGAATTGGAGAATTACCCAATTCAATTGGGAAAATGAAGAATTTGAGAGTGCTGAGGATGTCTCGCACCAGCTTAAGAAAGCTACCTAGCGCCCTTGGGATGTTGGAGAAGCTTGAAGAGATAGATGCTGCTGGCTGTGAATATTTGGAGGAAATACCAAGTGAGATTGGAAGACTATCATTTCTGAGGATCTTGATCTTGATATTATCATCTACTGGAATTTCCGAAGTACCTAAGGTTCCTGAAAGTTTGACCAATCTATTCCTTACAGCTAGAGCTCCAAGCCTCCAGTGGATCTCAAGGTTAAGAAAGCTAGAGTCCTTGGAGCTGTTTTGTTCTGGGAGTGCTTCCCAACTACCTCCAGATTTTAATCTCCTTTCTAAGCTCAGGGAGCTGGTGCTCAAAGTAGATAACCTAGAATGCCTACCTAGGCTTCCCCAGAATTTGTCACGCCTCCGTATTTATGGGCGCAGGATAATGGAAAAGTCAATAGATCTTTCATATTTGGAAAAGCTATCAGAATTGAGTATCTGGAATTGTGAACAGCTAATAGAGATTCAAGGCCTTGAACGTTTGAAAAACTTGAAACGGCTTCGACTTGGTGAACTTCCATCGCTGGTGAAGTTGGCTGACCTGACCAGCTTGAAGAAGCTCATGGTGCTTTGGATATCATATTGTCCTATGCTGGTTGAGCTTCGAGGTCAGCTAGAATCGTTGGAGACGCTTAATATAATGTGCTGTGAATCTCTCAAAAAGTGGCCTGATTCATTCAACGTGAAGGCTATAGATATACAAGCCTGTTGGAAGCTAAAAGAGATTCAAGGCATGGAAGACCTGAAGAACCTGCGTTGCTTGAGTCTGGTGGATCTTCCGTCGCTAGAGAAGTTGCCCGACCTGACCAACTCCAAGAAGCTCGAGGAACTTGTTCTAAGAGGTTGTCCTTGTGTGATTGAAATTCCAGGTAGGCTAGAATCATTGGAGAGGCTTCAATTACATCGCTGCGGGTCTTTGCGAAAGTTATCTCATCCTTCAAGCGCCAAGAAGCTAATGATTTTATTAGTAGGTGGCTGTAAAAAGTTCGAGGAGACCCTGGAATCCGATAAGTACAGAGATTTGAAAAAAGTGCGTCGATAACTCGTAGAATTTGATTGAGTTGCACAAGGTGCGACTCCATCTGGTGGAGATCTTCCTCCGGGACAGCGACCCATGTCTTCCTGCCCGTCCATCTGTTCCGCGAGGGGTTGAATAGATTGTCCGAGAAGTCTTCCGTTTTGCATTTTGGGCTGCAGCTGAGCTGACTGAGGCCAAGAAGGGTTCTTCCTTCTTCGCTGCATCTTTATTTGGTTTTCTGCATTTCATTCAGACCCGGTGGCTGTCTACTTTGATTTTCTTCATCTTCACCCATTCCTTTTCTGGTGATTTCTCTCTACGTTGTTTCTGTTTTGCATAATTTGGGTCTGCTTGCGAATTCTGATGCAACTAGTGATACATTAGGGCAAAGATTTGGAATTGAATTGAGTTTTCGTTTCAGTCATGACTTATCATTTATATATATGCTTTGAAAGCAGCCTTTCAGTGAACTCACTCCTGAGCTGACTCAATTGATTCCTTCCATCTGCATCTAATCTTATTAGCTTTAAGCCTTAACCAACTCCTTCGCAATTTTTCACTTCTGCACCAATTAGGGGAAGATCGATTTTCGCTCTTTAGGAACTAGTGCAAACCTTTCAGGTGGAATAGTTTGAGGGGGATTAGCTGATTTCATTTATCTTATCCAATATAGTCGACCGGACTCGATTCTTCTTCTGAGCTTATCAAGGTCCTGCTAAAAGCAATATTTGTCCTCGAAGGCATGAAACCTTACTATAATCATTTGGTTCTGCAATTTCTTTCTTCTTCTTCTTCTTTTTTTTTTGGTCTGCTGTGGTCCTACTTCTAAAATTTTAGCGGGTGTACTTAGTGATAAATCTCGTTAGGGAAGTAATTCATCAAGGATTTGAGATGACTTGCTCCAGAATTCATTCGTAGAGATTAATGTTCTTGAGGCAGTACTCTGAGAATGAGTTTCATTCAGTGTCACGAAATTAATTAGACATCAGCAACCACATTCACGAAATTGTTGTTGGTTTCCCATGAAAATTTCTACATTGAAGAAATGAAGAAGTAGGCGCAAAACATTGTGTCTAGCATAAACATAACGCTCCCTAGTTAATGATCATGTGCAATGGTCGCAAAGGTTCTATAGTTTTGATAACTTAAAACAGATTTCTACAGTCGCTTCTGAGTGAATTCATGACTGCGTTTCAAGTTTCACCATTCGAAATTTTTGGGCGGGATTGCCAGGAAAATTGGAATTGTTGGGTAAAAAAAAAATGACCGGTCACTTGGTTGTTAGGTCAAGCGGTAGTAAATTAACAAAACTATAAGACATTTACCAATTCCCACTAATTGGTAAATTACCGACTCTTCTGAAATTTTTCCTGTGTCGTAAGTGAATTACTCCATCAGAAATTTATTAGTATTTCAATGAAGTAGTAAATGATCAACTTATTTGAAATTTTATCATTGTCGTAAGTAAATTAACAACACCACTTCTGAATGCAGCATACGACTCACCATTGTACTGGGCTCTCCAAGTGTGCTTGTCCCTATATTAAGTAGTTTACCAACTCCATTGAAATTCTACAAGTGTTCTTAGCAATATACCAACACTACAATTAATTTTTATGAGTACGTATATAAGACTCTAGGAAAATATAGATATTCTACCATTCTCTATAGGTTTGAGAAGAAATAAAGTACAATGATTTATATATTACGACCTGTGTGGCCTGATGTGACTTGAATAGCATGTATGTGATATTATGAACTTGAAGTTCGGGATGGAAAAAAGAAAGAAAAAAGAATGGGTATGAATCTTAATGGGAATGAGTCTGGGATAGTCATCATCATGTGGTGGTACGGTAATATTTACTTGTGTATATCGATGAGCTACTGATATCTACGCGTCATTAGATTGGTTTGTTCCATGGTGCGTATTTGAGTGTTAACCTGAATGTCATACATTGCATCTATTTTGTTCATTGCACAAATAATTATAGTCATTTTTATACGATGCACGGATTACATTATCTTAGGTGAATATTGGTTTTCCTATTGAAAATAATATATGACCTTTACTCGCTAATTGTCACTATACTATTGTGTTCTCAAGTCGAGTGGTGAGTAGGCCTCCTATTTTGGACATAAAGCTTTCATTTACTGAGCTTAGACTCACCCCTTTAAAATATTATACATATTGGTTGGCTTTGAAGTTTAGGGACATTTAGATTAGCGCTTCTACAAATCTTTTTAAGGTGGATCTTCTGTATGAGGTTTTGATCACGTAAACTAATTAAAATATTTATGTACATTCATTTGATGTTGAATTGCTTATTAATTCGATATTCAAATTGTGTGGAAAATTCAGGTTTTGACAATTTCGGGGATGCTTCTTAATTCATTGAAGCTCCATGTCCTTGGTAACTCGGAAGGTTAGGCAAGCTGGGATCCTTGCGGTTGGAATCTCCTTATTTCACCTCCCCATCTTCAGACATCATTCTTCTTTCCCAACTCAATGAACCTGAACTGGTCCCCTCCAAGAAGCTGCAATGCCTACCTAGCCTTCCCCCAAATTTGTTGTACTTAAATATCGAATCGTGCAGGGAAATAAAAACATCACTAGACCTTTCAAATTTGAAAGCGGTGTCAGATTTGGAAGTTTCTCATTGCCCTAAAGTGAGAGAGTTCAGTGGCCTCCAAGTTTTGGAGAACCTGAGTGCCTTGAAGCTTGAAGGAGTTCCATCTTTGGACAAGTTGCCTGACCTGACCAACCTAAAGAACCTTCAGCAATTCTATCTGCAGTGATGTCCTAAAGTGGTCGAGATCCAAGGCAGACTAATATCGTTGGAGGCACTTTGGATAGGTTCCTTTAAATCTTTAGAAAAGTTACCGCATCCATCTTGCTTCAAGAAGCTAAAATCTTTTTATGTACACAAAGCATGAGAAGGTAGAAGATTCTCTGAGTTCTGATGATCAGTGGAGGACTTGAAGGAAGAGACTCAGTCTGATCTTGTGGAATCCGACTTGTCTGGGTATTTTTATTTTATTTTTTTTAGGAAACTTTTGCTCTCTTGGATTTCAGAGTTTGGTTAATGGTAGAATCATTCTAGAATGTAAATGTTGGTTGCGTACCTGATTTCAGTGGTTGACCGGCAACTCAAAACTCTATATGTTGCAAGCTCCTTATGCTCATGTAATAATCGGAAAATGTAGTACAAACATTTCTTCTCTCAATTTTGTTACTATTGTATCCAAGCTAAGCTTCCAACGCATAAGGTTTTTTCATATTGCTTCTGCTGTGAATCATCTGTTCCTATCATTGCCTCAAGTACAGACTGTCGATATTTCAGATATGAATTCTTCCTCTCTGCAGTTCGTATTCTTTCCTATAGCAGTTGTGAGAGAGTGAAAGAGTAAACATTGATCGCAAATTTCCCAAGTGTAGTAAGAAACTAAAGAGTCCAAAGAACACAAACTTTCTAGGGATAAAGTTGACAGAAAATTCTATGATAATTCTTTCCGCTAGCTCTTTATTCTATCTTAAATTTAGTTTGTCTCAATTGATTGTATCTAAGAACTTCACCATGTGTACCACTCAGTACCTTTCAACATGGCAGCAACACGGCCCTCAATACTATAGCAGGCAAAAAAACAGAAGCATCTCTATCGAACCCTGCTAGTGACCCACTGCCTACAAGGTGACAAAGCGGCAACCCTCCATGAGCAATCACTAGCCACGGTGGCGGTCCTGGCAAATGGAGAAAGAACAGATACAATGATAGAGCATTTTGGATGTTATCAATCCTTTATCATTCTAGTATCAAACCAAGTAAAATAGTAACTTATAGCATACTAACAGCAAATGGTTATCATATTGCAGGCTCATTTCAAATATGTAACCAAAGGTACCATAAGGGTTATAGATTGTACAAATTAAAAATAACATATATATATATACCATCTACTGGCCTAGGATCTGGGGATTATAAATAGGAAAGATACTTTTTATAGAAGATTAATCTGTGCGTTTCCGTTTATTAAAAAGGAAAAATGGGAATTGTAATAATAAGATAAGAGCAACAAAGATGTATGTAATATTTAGACGTCGTTCTAAACGATCAAAATATTCAATATATTGAGAAAATAAATAAAGGATATGAGATATATCTCTAGATCTAGCAACAACGAAAATATATGTTAATATAAAAGTGCAGATTTCTACACAAAACACTATTAAATAAATAAAATTAAATAAAAGCGCGAGCATTAAAAATAATAAAGAGTCCGTAAGCAATATATAGAACTAAAAGGAGAATTGCTAGGAATTCTAAACAAACCATGTAGGTGGTATTGCTAAGCAAAGATAAAAGGGCAAAATGGTAAAAAGAAGTAAGGATATATAACAATAGCAGAGAACTGCTTTAAATTAAAGTACAAACCTTCCACGGGCGATTCGACCTGCCGTTTGTGGGGTATGTAAATGTAAATGCAAGAAAGAAATTAGAAATGACTGTTATATAAATGATACTGAAAGATTACAGTAACAATATTGAAAGGTTACAGAATGTAGATATTGAAATACAAGTGTAGAAGTAAGAAAAATTTTTTGGTAGAAATTCTTCCGTTACTCAGACTATTTGGTAGTCTAAAACGATAAAATTTTCCACGCTATAAGAACTAGAAATGGTATTTGAAGATCTTGAAAGTATAGGACAAGATCTTTACAGGGATTGGAAACTTACTGGATATGGAAAGGTTATAGAAAGGTTTGAGATGTGAGAACTCTTCTTTCTTCGAAGAAGGTTTGGAGAGAAACTAGAGAGGTTTTGAACTCGGAGAGAAAGGGTTCGAAAGAGTTCTGGAAGTTCTGCCTCTCTAAGGGAGTGAGGTCTGATTTTATAAGCAAGCTGAGTTCCCATAGAAATAGTTCACGGGTATTACTGTAGTAAGTGTACAGTGTTTACAGTGAACAGTATCCTGACATAATTATGAAAGTTTTGATAAAGGAAAGGACTGACAGACTCCTTTCGGCCTAGAAATGATGGAAATGGCTGGAGTCTTTCGGCGCCTAATATCATGGCTTGGACAAATCTTCCACTGCTTCGTCTTCTTCTTCCTGATCTGCTACATCTCCCCACGGGATTCTTGGAAGGATTCCGTAGCAATCATCTTCATTGGAGTTCCTACTGTGGTGAGAGTGAGAAGATCCAGAGTTTTCGATTTCAGAAAGAGCTTGCTTCAACATTCCTACCAATTGTTGGGGTGATTGGGCTGAAGCTAATTTAGAAAGGACAAAACCTTTGTCATGTAGAAAAGGGGTAATTTCCCCAGGAGGGGGAGGACAATTAGAAGTAGATTGTCTAGCAATGAGCCATCTGTTGACACCATCTACATATGCTCTATCAAAGAATTTGAAACCATCCCACCATTTGACTTTGAATCGTCTTATTAAAATATGGATGTTTGTTCTGCCTGTTTTTCTAAAATCAAGAGTCCATCCAAGAACCCAAGATACTCCGAAGAAATAGAAAAAGAGCATGAGTTTAGTAAAGATTTGCTCATAGGAGAATGGATTGAAATTTTTGAGGAAGAGTTCATAGCTGGGTTGAACTTTGGGATGGAGAATTTCTTTAATGGGTCCAAAAATATCCCACCATTGGAGAAACCAATACGGGGTTTCTCTGATTTCAAAATTCTCAAAATAGAAAAGCCAAGTATGGGAGCTGTTAGGATTTTGTCTCCAGAATGTATTCCACCATGCTTGTCGATAATCAAAATAAGAGAAGGATGTTCTGTATGGAAGAGAGTCAGTCATTTTGATATTAAATTTCCTCATGGCCAGTGGACTTGGTTTCCAGTCCCGAGGGTGAATGACTTTGTGTAGAATGGCCTTAGAGTAATTTATATGTCCTTTGTCTGAGAAATGTTTAAAAGTGACAGATCCTGTTTCTGTCAAAATTCTTTCATAGAATTCAACAGTTTTATATATGTCATAAGGAGTGTATAGGAATTTTTCTAAAAACATGTTATTGGCAAAAACATAAGGGTTTTCATCATAAAATCCGTTTTCAATATTACAAATGGTTTCAAAATTTGTTTTAGGAAAGAATTTTGATTTAAGCTCAGGAGGGGTTGTCTGGGTTGACTGAATAACCACCTCACTAGAAATTCTTTTTCCCGTTTGCTTTTGGGTAGCAATGGAAGAAGGGTCAGGACTTACCAGTGCTGTTGATGGTTGTGCCCGACTATTGAAGGCTTTTTGGAAGAGCTGTAAAGCTTCTTCATGAGAAATTTTAGTAATATCAAAAGGAGGTCTTAGAGACAACTCAAGGTCTGGTTTGGCCTGAGTAGAAATGGTAGTGGTATTCAAAGATGGCTGGGTAGTTGCTTGCAACCAGGTTCTTATGTTGGTCAAGCCGGGTCTTTACTCTGAGGAGGTTTCGGCAATTTCTTTGCCTTTGTTTTTTCTGGTAGGCTTGTCAGGTGGCTTGGGAGGCATTTTCCTTGTAAAAATTCTCTTGTTAAAAAAATCTGGGAGAGAATTTGAAGAACCATTTATGAATTCTATATCAAAATCAAAAACAGATAAGATGGCTTGCCATCTAGCGAAAATTGGTTTTGAAGCAATATTTTGAACATCTTTTGCAGACTTACAATCAATTCGAAATAAGAATTTTTGATTCAAAAGATCTCCTTGAAATTTAGAAATAGATAGTACAATAGCAAGAATCTCTTTTTTAATTGTAGAGTAATTCTTTTGGCAATCATTCTAGTGCTTGGAGACAAACTGAACAATTTGTTCTTTGTTGTCCTTGGACTGCTTAAGAATTCCTCTGTAGTCAATATCAGAAGCATCAGTTTCAACAATTTTGAAGGCAAAAGGATCAGCAAGATGTAAACAAGGAATTTCCTTGACAGTTCACTTGACTTGTTTTACAATATCAGTATGGACTTGGGTCCATGGAGGAGGATCCTTTTTGAGTCTCTGATGAAGTGGTTTGCAAATTATATTGATGCGAGGAAAGAATTCAATAATATAATTCAAACTTCCTAGAAATCTTTGCAATTGATTTTTGTCTCTGATTTCATCAGGAAATTTTTCAGAAAATACTATTGATCTTTCAATAGGTATGATAGTACCTTGATGGATGTAATGTCCTAGAAAGCGAATTTTTGTTTTGAAAAGGGATATTTTAGTAGGTTATATTACTAAACCATTTTTCTTCACAACATTTTATAAAATGATTGATGTGCTTAAAATGTTTTTCTATGGATGCAGAAAATATTAAAACATCATCAATATAAACAATAATATAATCAAAACAATGGTTAAAAATATCATTCATTATCCTTTGAAATTCAGAGGGAGCATTTTTTAAACCAAAAGGCATGACATTCCATTCATATTGGCCAAAAGGAACAGTAAAAGCTGTTTTATACCGATCCTTTTCGCTAATCTGGATTTGCCAGAAACCTGATTTCATATCAAATTTTGAGAAGATCTTTGCATCATACAGCCTATTCAACAAATCTTTCTTATTAGGAATCGGATATCTTATCCATTTCAGGGCTGTATTTAAAGGTTTGTAATTTATTACCAATCTCGGGACTCCTCTTTCTAGTTCAGCATTTTTGTTGACATAGAAAGCAGAGCAACTCCAAGGTGATTGGCTTTTCCTAATAAGCCTTTTCTCAAGAAGTTCCTGTATCTCTTTTTGGCAGAAATTTAGAACTTCATGATTCATTTGAGAAGGTCTGGCTTTAGTAGGAATATCCTTTTCAGAAAATCCTGGCTCATAAGGTAGATCAACTATGTAACTTTTACGAGACCAGAAAGCATTAGGAATATTATAACATATGAAATTTTTTATTTGGTTTTCAAGATTATAAATCCTTTTCTGAAGGCTTGTTTCAGAAAGATTTTTGTCAATCTTTTTGTATTCAAGATCTTCTTTAAGAAACTGGAGATGAGTTTCTTTATCTTGAATCATGCAATTGATCTTAGAAATAGAGTGTTCTTGAAGAGTATTCAAATTTCTGGTTTGGGGCTTTGAAATGAAATCAAAACATATTCTTTTGCCTAAGGTTTCTGTTTCAATTCCTTTTTCAGAAACTTTAAAAGGTTGGAGTAAATTAATAAAATGTGATCCCAAAATAACATTTTGTTTAATGTTTTTAACAAGAAGAAAAGGAGTTTTAAAAGAGATTTGGTCTTTCACAATCTCGGCTTCAGGAATTTTATAATTTATAATCAA